TATAACTGTATTTTTTTTTTTTTTTTTTTTTAAAATTATTTATTTGTATTTATCAAATTGATTATTACATTACAATTGCTAATTTTAAGAATATAATCTTTATTTGTTTGAATTTTATAATTTAGCCTTACCTATTTAAAAAATATTTACAAACAATCAACGAAGTTTTAATTATTCGTCTATTTAATAATATATTGCAATAAATCAGTATTATTTAACCGATCTTATCAACTTAAAATGTTTCATTTAATCCTTTATTGCAAAAAAAAGTTTTATCATATGCGCATTACCGTTTAAAAATAAAATTATAAATTCAGTAACCATTCCCAGAAAGGTAAATAGAAACTTGGAAGTAGTATAGATTTGATATTTGCAGGGGTCTAAAAAAAGATATCTGCAGATACAAGTAAGGACTCGTAAACAAAAATTAAACATTCTAATCTAATGTAATACCGATGATATATTGACTGCCAAAGGCAAGACAAATGTATGAAATATATTTGAGTTCATCTCTAATCTCGTTAGCAAGAAGTAAACTCATCTTATCTGATGAATGAACATACAAAAGAAAGAAACCAATTTTTATGTCACTTATATGTCTGACAAACTATTTACGATACAAAACAAAGAATACGCTGAAGACATCAGACTGATTTCTTTTGCTGCTTAAGCAAATATTTTTCACGCTTGTTTATTCGTGAGATTTCAAAAATTTTGTTTTATATTATATACAAAGTACATACAAAGTATTGACCTTTGAAACGATCACATAATTTCGTTAAATACTGTAGTAAAGTTTTTTTTTTTTTACTTCCACGATTGTATTGAAAATTCGGATTCAAAACATTTTTATGAATTTTTCTCACAATTATGCTGGTACATTTTGCAGCTAATGAACAAAATATCATTTCTGCACTTGTGTTTTATTGAAAATATTTTGCTTATGTTTGTAATAAACATTTTGGTACAGAATGTTTATGCCGAAAATACCTCGCATTGAACAGGCACATAATTCGATAACATTTTTGAACATTAAATTTTGTGCATTAAATTAAATGGCTGCTAATTTCATATAAAATTATATTTACAATAAACTAGTGTTTACAGCAGCTAAATGCATAAAAGTTAAAAATGATCAAAACATTGTAAGAATATAAATTCTTAATTAATAAAGGAATAGATTTACGTATATAAATATATGTGTAAGTAAATAAATATAATATACTCCTTGAAATATTTATATTGTTAAGTACATAGACATTTATATGGGCGAAAATTTATTTTCAAATGGAAATTTTTGAATAATATGAAATATTCTTAATTTATTAAATCATAAAATTATAAAATTAATTTTTCTCCATGCTCGTAAATGAAGAATATTGATATTTTCAAAGTTGATAATAAATTATTAAGATTTTATTAGCATTGAATAGTATAAACAGTATATGAATAGTATAAATAGTATAAACTTAGGGAATTGAACACGTACTGTATAATTAGTATTTTATTAAATAAACTAAATTTTCTGACAAAATATTATTTTGCAAATTTAAAAAAAAAATAATAAAAGAGGCAATGAGTTTCATAGAATGTTGAATTGACTCTCATTCTTCACTTACTAAGGCTTACTAAATAATTTTTTCTTCACTTACTAAATAATTGCTTTATATTGCAGTACAGTGTTCTTAACAATGTTCATAAGTACAATTAGAAGCTTTAAAATTAAATCTCAAATTCATACTCACAACCAATTACAGCAAAGAGAATAAGAATTTATGATTAATATAATATATATTTAATTCATGGTAATAAATATAGAATATTAACGTATAATAATATGAATAATCGTAAAAACAAAATGAGTCAATTGTTTAGCTACATTTCCATTAAATCGTCATTAAATTATCTTATCAGCTATATTATGTTTACATATTTTCAGAGCAAAATTTAAAAACTATATACAGGACAAATCTTTACGAACGTTATCCTTTCTAATGCGATGTAGATAGAATAGCAGGTAAAAGAGAAAAGGGTGAGAGTACCAGGAGATCCATTGAGTAAAATTAAACACCAGATGTAAACACCATTTCAGCAAGTAAGTAATTCAAGCAATTGAGAATAATTCTTGATCATTAAATTTCAACATAATCTACAACAATTTCTAAATACCAAAAATTCTAATTGTAAACAAATACGTGCCCTTATAATGACTTAAGGCATTCATAAAACTGCATGTTTAAGATTTTCAATAATGATTAATAATAATAATAATAATAATAATATTATTATTATTATTATTATTAATCATTATTGAAAATCTTAAATTATTATTATTAGGATTATTATCGTTATATATTTTTCGAAAACTTGAACTTGAAATTTTTTTATTTTCTTCTAATTTATCATTGAATATAAGAAAAAAATCTGAAAAATGCGAATAAAAACTGTATGTAAAATAAATGTGATACAGATTCAGAAAAATATTTCTTTAACATAGCTAATTTATATCCTTATGTTTACCAATGTAATTTATGAAAGATATTAAAAACATTAAAAAAAAAAAAAAAAAAAAAAAAAAAAAAAAATAATTCAATTGGTTCAAATTTTTGTATATTTCGAGATTAAAATTGATCACGCATTTAAAATAATTTATAATACATTAATTTTTTTTTATATATTTGCACATGTACATTATCTGCTTCTTTGATTGGCATGTTTAATAAAAATTTTCAAATTAATAAAAGAAAAGAAATGAACGAAATGGCAAAATAATATTTAGAAAATAAAACAAATAGTTTTTAGCCATTTTTATTTCAAATTAATAATTTGAGGTTTAAAATGATAAAATTATATAAAGGTTCGTATCACTACAGTTTATTTAAAATTTTATTTAAAAGCAAAAATATATGTATTACGAATGGATGGTGGATAATTATAATAATAGCATCAGGACTCATTTATAGTTACTGAATGATTTAAAAAAAAAGAAAAGAAAAAAAAAAGAAAAAAAAAACAATCAACAACAACATATTTTGAAAGACAAAAGATTTTATTTATTTATTTGTCGAAGAAGGAGAAACATAAACTACCGATTTCTTTCAATTCAAGCATAATAAAAATAGATCTACGTATTATAAATATCTATTTGTGAGAAAGCCTTTACGATATTATTAACATGATTTCATCTATTATAAATAAATTCATCATCCAACATTATTCATTTTATTCATTATTTTAGAGTCTTCGTACTCATAATTAAAATTTTAAGGCTTCAATGATAAGACTATAATAAGTATTTAATAAAATTTTTAAAAATTTATGTGATTACGTGACGCATTCTATGTTTTTTATTCGAAAGTTCTAAGCAGGTTTGCTTTGCGATAGTATAAGGAGCGGTTGCGTCAATCTTAACATGCGTTTCTATGATCGAGCATCATATAAATATAACTCAAGTTTAACCGTACATTCGTAGATCTATTTTTTTGTAAATACAAAAAGCAAAAATGGAAATATTAATGATTCACACAAACTGATTAAGTTTTGTTTTACAGATTCTTTGTGGTGAAAAAGCGGTTTTATAATGATTCGTACCGCTTGGAGATTGATTGGTATTATCGACGATGGTGACTCGATGGCAATTACATATTTTCTTTATTCCTGATAGAAAAAAAAAAAAAAAAAAAAAACATACTCCAACGAATAGTACATTTTTCACATTATAACCTGAAGTTTTAATTTTAATAAAAGGTCTTACTTTATTATACAATCTAATTGTTTTTATATAAATGGCTACGTTTTTAAACGTAAATCATTGTTGTATATAATTTTACCGCTTATACATAGAAATGATATCTTATGCGATTGATTTTACTAGATATTTATATCTCTAATATAAATATTTACATAGTTTATTACTATTTGCATTGATTAGTTATTGAAATTTGGAATAAGCAATATTTTTTTGTTGCGTCACAGACAAGCTCAAATTCACGTGTTCACATCTATACTTCATTCGTTAAAAAAATACGAAATATTGAATTTTGAATTTGAACAAAATTCTTTTTATAACAATAGATACTCTATTAAAATAGGTAAATTAAAATTATTTTTCAATATATATTTCACAGCATGCCCTTACTGTATTGTTGCTGTCTAATTGTATACCATTTATTATAATAATAATAATCAGATAGACGAACAATGAGAAAATGAATAAATATCTAACTATTTCATATCCGCAATCCCATCCATTTCCTATTGTAATAAACAAGATTTACTCACACCTCTTGTGTTTTTGATAAGAATATTGGCTTTTTTTTAATAAGCTATCGATAAGGATAAAGTAATAATGCTACAAGAGTAGCGTTTGGAACAAGTGAGGAGCAGCTATTTGCAACGGAAAGCTACAGCGAGAACAAACAAGACAGACAGAGAAACCTTCATTGCGATTGTATTAAAGGAATCTCGTCGCGCACACCTGATCATCTCTACCCCGTGTGCATTAGTTGGTGATCAGGCGCGAAAATTTTCCAGACGACAACTCCGCGGTCCAATAGGCCGTTATCTCCCAACCCCCGGCTGCACTATTAGCGCGGCATTCGACGAGGGGACAAGGTCGGCTGTTTCTCTCTCTTTCTCTCTCTCTCTCTCTCTCTCTCTCTCTCTCTCTCTCTCATTCGAACAAAAGTAGATAAGTGCGCGGGTGCCGTCGGCACCTGACTCTCGACTTATCGGCGTGGGGATCAGCCAAAAAGCCACGAAATCGTAACGCCGCTGCTCCATTCCTTGCAGGAGTCTCGCGACGCGCGGACAAACTCATCTCCGGTGCAGTTCCGCTGCGCTGCGCCCAGGCGATCGCCGATCCTTCGACAGCTACGACTCGCCCGCTCCTCCTTCTCCTTCTCCTCCCATTCCTCGGCCAGCCCAGGCCAGTCCAATCGCCTCCTCCTCCTCCTCCTCCTCCTCCTCCTCCTACTGACCCCTTCCTGCCCCGGAGACGGAGCGCGCACGAGGAACGAAAATCAGTGACGAGGGACGTTTTTCGGCTCGCGCGCTTTTCCGACGCGACGAGTAGCGCTGCCCACACCGGACGCACCGGACGCTCGCGCCACCTTCGCCTCGCGACACCGTGCTGCAGGACATGCGATGAAATCGCCTAAGAAACATGACGGCAAGTATGTGTGTGCGTGTACGCGACAGGGCGAGCGACCTTGCGAATGTCAGGCTGACTTTATTTGCACAATTACGCAGGACTTTTCGACGTTCCTGACCGTGTAACCGCGTTCCTAAACGATCTGTCATTTCGCCCGATGTCCCGATTTTCCGCTTCCATTATTAATCGTACGCGGATCTACGTTCGCGCGCTCGTGCTCTTACGCACGAGTTGTGAACGAGATTAGAGATTTGTGACGTTGTCGTGATGATGATTGTTGTTGTTTATTGTTTAAAGGTAATGACCAAAAGTCTGAGTGCGAGGAAGGACCAGTGGATTTCGAGCGGGCGATCCTACTCACAGGTAAATTTACTCTAGCAACTCTTTCTATCTCTCTCTCTCTCTCTATCTATCTATCTATCTCTCTCTCTATCTCTCTCTTTGCGTGTGCGTGCGCGTGTGTGTTACGATAGCTGGACACCCAACGATCCCAGTTATTATTGGCTCTTATTTTCATGGATGCCCTGTGTACAATTTATTACGCTTTTAATAAGAACGTATAAACCGTTTTAAAAAAAAAGTTATATATAACACCTGACTTTGCGAATTACTTTTTTGCCTCCCATGCTGTTATTCAATTGTTGTTACGATAGTTCATATTATTATTATACTTTTACTCACAGACGTTTAAATATAATTTTTTATGATAATCAAATAGCTCCAACTTGTATTTCCAAAAATTTTAGTTTAACGCCAGGGAAAATTGCCTTTGATAATTCATTGCTAATATTCATAGTCGTCGAATCATTTTGCTTTCTTTTTTTTTTTTTTTTTTTTTTTTTTATTTTATAAATTGTAAATTCTCGATAGAAATCTTGAACCAACATGTTACATATAGTGCGTTTACGAATGAAAAATTTTGTTCTCATAAAGATCAGCAATAAAATTCCAATTAGCTAAACATTTTGCCCACCTATTAGGTAGGATTTGCATGGTGTAATAAGTGTTTAAAACTAATTACACGAGCCATCATTATTAGCTATACTTAATAATAATAATCATAAATAAAGTTTCTGTAATTATTATATGATTCTATACAGCATTACTTTTTCTTCTTTTTTTTCTTTTTTCTTTTAAAGTTTAATAGAAAAAACTTATCTATTAACCTTGTTTAATCTACGTGCGAATAATTTTCATTCAACATTTTACAAATTATTCGCGTATCAGGATGCATATGTCGCGAATGACATTCCAATAAAATAAAATTTTAGTAAGTTAAATACGATGTTGGTCATTGATCATTCAGGATTATCATGTTTATTTTTAAAAAGTAGAATTTTCAATTTTCTCACATAAATGATTATGTACTAATGAATTTTGCGTAAAATACAATGATTTTACATAATCTACGGACTACATATTCGATCATTTACTTATTACTGGAATATTTTGTTATAAATAAAGAATGTTCGCTTACTATAATTATAATGCAATTTGAAATAAGCTTCTTATTTATTGTGGTTACAAAATTAACTATAAATAAAGTATTTTATTATCAAATAATTATGTTAAAAGCACATTTATAAATTTATAAATAAGCCTCGTAATCAATTTAAGTATAAGATTGAATTTAATTTTAATTCCAGCAGTCGAAAGTATCTTTATAAAATCTTGAGATGTGGATAAAACTTTAATGTCCGTTGATTATATTTCTGTAATCGGTCGTATTTTGCAAGCTACCTTTTAAATACATATACAATGGTATATATATACCGTAATGGCAATCTTCATTATCTCTTCGCATTTGCTTCTGATGTGTGCGCGCGCGTGCGTGCGTGCGTGTGTGTGTACGCGTGCGCGCAAATTTGCAAATGGCAGAACAAAATATTTTAAAAATGCTTAAGCCACTTCAACAATATTAACAATATTATCCATCGACATTCGACTTTCATGGTAATTAAAATAAGGATAATAAGAATTCGAGAATTGCTTTTGCAAATAGCATATGACGCAGAACAGCGTCGTTTCTCTAAATCGAAATCGGTGAAAAAACAAAAATTGACAACTCCCGACCTACGCCATCAATATTCTATATTCACGTGTTCCTCTAGGCAATGGGAAATTCAATTACTTGGTCCTGCTGACGTTGCTGCCCGTATGTTGGGCCAACTTCTATGCCTCGACATCGATATCCTACGTCCTGCCGTCGGCGGAATGCGAGCTCAAACTTAGTATGCTCGACAAGGGTCTGCTCAACTCCATGTCTTTTGCAGGTAAGCCGAGACGTCGTCGCTATTATGCACGTTACCAAGACTTTTAGCGAGCAAATAGTGAAATAAACAGACGTTTGACGAAGACATTCGCGAGAAGGATTTATGAGCCAATTGTGTGTTTGCGGGATCTGACGCTTTTATTTAACGTTTTATATTTTATAGCTCTTATACGTTCTTGTTCTCTTCGGTTTCTATTCAATAAGTACTTTAAATAGTAAAAGTCTTTTATCTTCAATTTTTTTTTTTTTAACACTTTTCCTGTCCTGTCATAGATTAAACATTTATTTATTTTTTAAATATATTACAAACTTAAAAAATTATACACGCACACTTATTTTATCCACGATTCCTTCTTTCAGTGCCCTTTCGTCGATTATTTTTCAAATTTGTTTTTTTACGCAATTGTAAATTGTTATTTGTTAAGATTATATTATATGTACCGCTTTGAATAATTATAACATACTTTTGTGTTGTTTTTTATTTTTTTTGCTTGTTTCTATTATTGTTCAATATTTCGATTTTGAATTGGGCTCTGCATTTTACGTAGCTTACAAGCTTAATATTTTATTATAAAAATTATGCGAGCTTGCAGAAACTAGCGTGAAAAATCTTAATCTAAGTTTTATGAAATACATAGTGATATGGAATATCAATTGCAATATTAACATTAAAAAATAAATGCAATAATTAGAAAAGAGATTACGTAACAAATTTTGTTGACTTAAGTGCTATTAAACATTTGATTTATAGATATATATTCTGATAAATCATAAATGAAAGAACTTGATATGCAGAATAATTTTATTAGCGTTTGTAGAAATCGTCATTGGCAATTAAAAGAAAATTTTTGTTAACAAAATCGATAAATTATATACATTATCGTATTAAACAAAGTTTTGATTTTAATCTATTAGTGTTTCACGACTGTCCGAAATTCCAGTTTGGAACGAATCAGCTTGGCACTCAACATACGGTAAATTCTAGTCAGACGTAAAAGAAATCCATAAAAATAATTACGTAAATTGCTTTGTTACGCCGCATGAAGTCTTAAATTTTTCGAATACCAATCAGACGATTCGAATTAAGAATTACTCTTTACCTTCTTAATCAATAAGTATTGAGATTCTTGTGATTATTGTTACTGTTAACATTATTATTATCATTATTATCATTATTATTATCATTATTATCATTATTATTATCATTATCATCATCATTATCATCATCATCATCATCATTATTATTATTGTTGTTGTTGTTGTTGTTGTTCTCCTTGTTATTGTTAACATCATTATCATCATTATTATCATTATTATCATTATTACTGAATCGAGAAATAAAAGAATATATATTATTTACAAATAGACAAAGAAAGAAATATCTTTGCTGCACTTTTTATAATGTCATAAGAAAACAAAAAATTCTGAAACATGTCTTATTATATCAGAATAAACGGTAATCAACTGACGCATGTAAGCGTGTCATTGTACCGAACAATGTTTGAATTTCTTTTTAAACTATTCAACAATAACGATTAACAAAATGATGAAAAACATATTCCATCAGTTTATTTTCAATTTATGCATTAATGTATCATCTTGACATTTAATAAAATTTATCTACTAATATAATCAAGGCATGTAATATCACATTTCATTAATTTAACAAATATAATAATTATATTATTATTAACAATTATTTCGATATAAATTTTAATTATTTTTATATAATAGCCAATAGTACAGAACATGTAAATATATAAAAATATTAAGTATATTGTAAGAAAATTTTAAATCTCTACACATTGATACATTTAATGAGCATTTTAATTAATTGTCATATTTAGTTCTTCATTCTACATAATCAAGATATATTTTCTTTAAATTACAAATGATAACCAATATTAGGAATAAGAAAAACACAGTAAGATATAAATATTATATAAAGATTTCATAAGATTTTTTATTTAAATTCTTATTTAAACGTTATTTATTAGTTGTGATCTAACGTTGAAGATAAACGTTCTAAATTCAAAAAACTTTTCAATAATATTACATTTTTCTATCATTGAAATTTAAAGCTAAATTCAATCATGTAAATTAATATTAAATGTACAAATACTATTATCTTTAAATATTTATTATGCATTTATTGTACTGTTAAGTCCCATTATCAACGGACATTAAAGGATGCAAGATTATTATTACGTATTCGTTTAAAATGTAAAGAAATTTACATTTAATTATTATTTATTCATTCATATTATTTACGATCATAGTTAAGATAAAGAGAAATTGGTGATATTATTAATGAAAATTAATACATTGGGTATTTTTATCGTATAGCGCTTAAACATTTCGTGCATGAACTCGGATTTCATATATTGAAAATTATGAATAAATAATGGAAGGCTAAATTAGTCATAAAATATTTGTATAAAATACATAATTACAATTAATTTTCAGGTATGATTATAACGTCATTTGTATGGGGTTTTATTGTGGATGCATTTGGTCGCAGAAAAATCATGGTATACGGTTATCTTTGTACTGCCATTTGTACTTTAGCCACTAGTTTTAGTCCTGCGTCTTGGCAGTTGATCCTCTTCAAATTCGTGGACGGTATTGTGTAAGTATTTATCATTTTATACAGACATTTTGCACTTTGCATTGAAATTTGCAATTCGAAGTTTTTACAAATGCTTAATTATTTTATCAGTATATCCGGTCCATACGTTGCCTTACAATCGTACATGGCTGAGATCCATAGCGAACATCTCAGATCTCAAATGTACATGTGGATGGGTATGTTTTTTGCTCTCGGCAACATCTCCCTATCGTGTAAGTAAATGTCACGTTTTAACGATAATTTGTTGACTTAATTGACGTTGTTTTTTTGTTAAACATAATGAAACATGTTTAATGGTACTTGCTAAGTTGTACATTTTTCGCACTTAAGCGTGTTTTTTATTTAAAAATCTGTGAGACATATACGCGAATAATTATAAATAGCTCTTATAATTATCCAATATTTTATGTTGTTTCTGTATACAGTTTTACTATGCACTGGTACTATTATTAAACAAAAACAAAGCAAAACAAAAAAAAAACAAAAAAAAAAAACAAAAAAAAAACAGAAAAAAAATGAAAAATTCGAATAAAAAATGTAAATGTTTTATGCCAATGTTATTGCCTATTGAAAAAATAATTATAATTTAATCATGGACGTTCAATGCTAATTTTTTCTTCTTTATATTTAAAATAAACATATATTTCTCATAAGTCTAATACGTATTGCCCACGCCGTATTATGCATTAAATTAAATAAATGTAATTACTTACGATTTAATCCATAATACAATACATTTACCATTTAATTTTAGAATTTTCTTTTTGTTTTTTTGTTTTTGTTTTATTTTTTTTGTTCGGATATTGCAGGTCTAGCTTGGTTAATTATTCCTCACAAATGGCAATGGAGCATCATCGACGGGTGGATCGAACTTACATCGTGGAGGTTATTTCTTGCTTTTTGTACGATACCAGGTTTGCTTGCGAGCTTCGCTTTGTACTTTTTACCAGAAAGTCCGCGATTTCTCATTGCCAAAAAACGTCATGACGATGCACTCGGGGTCTTTAAAAAGATCTACGCAATTAACACTGGAAAAAATCCAGATACTTACCCTGTGAGTTGATTTTAAACATTTGTATCCGACGTACTATTAATAGAGTATAGACGTTAATTGTTACGAGTCGATTCTGTAATTAGAATTTATTCATTTTCATTTAATTGTACAACACGTTAATAATAGCTTTCATATTTTTAAGTGAAATATATGGCAAATCAGATTTATATTTATTGAGCTTAACGCATTATGCAATGAAAATCATAATTGTAATAAGTTGCTACCGACCACACCAGTCATAAAATGTTTGATGTTACCTTTAACCATTTAAACATTTACAAGTTTGTTATTTAATGTAGGTTAAGTATCTCGAAGAAGAGGAATCGATAAAAATATCGGGAATTAGCTTTAAGCAAACTCTTATCGGTAGTCTTAAGCAAATACAACCAATTTTTCTACCACCAAATGCTGTTACTCTCGTATTAACAGCTTTCATACAATGCGGAGCGACAATAGGGTAAGTCTTATTATTATTATAATAAAATATTACAATATTAAACTATCTTATAATTAATTTGAGTTCCAATATCAAAAAAATTTCTATTCAAATAAAGTAACGCAAGAAGCGGAAAGTTGCCCCACTTTATATCAGCATAATGCAACGTAAATTCTGATTGAAATCTTATATGTTGTAGTATTTTTTCAGCAGTTGTATCCTCACCGATACTAAAGATTTTTGAAACAGAAAAATAAAAAAGCTTACAATGAAACGGTATGCTCGACTAAAATATAGATTAAGCGTCTGTTCTTACTCCTAATCATATTCCTTCATGTCATTTTTTATAATAGTAAACTCTAAAACAGGTCAAATACTTTGAGGCTTTGGATGCCTATGCTTTTTTCAATGATTGAAACCTATGACCATTTACATGCAGATGGACCAACCACTAGCATGTGCAATAAGATCGATGAGGTGATATTTAAGAACGTCACAGTTATGCAAAACGAAACGTCCGGCGATATTCCTGAATGTACAGAAGTAAGAAGTTTGGCTAAATATTAGTGTCTCTCTCTCTCTCTCTCTCTCTCTCTCTCTCTCTCTCTCTCTCTCTCTTCCTATTTCTTTTTTCTTTTTTTCTTTTTCCTCTTTATGGAATAACACGAGTGACAAAGACATAACTATTGGCTCAAATTTTAATATTTCAATATGCTTTTAAAGAGACAATAAGTACTTTAATGCAACAAAAGTATTTTGTACAAAAAATAAAACAGTTTATATGTACATAATTATAGAGCGGTTAAAGGCACACATTTACATGTAATAAAAATTTAATACTATCAATTTATAAATAATACAATGTTTACAATTTTTAATTAACATCAAACATAGCTATGCCAATAGTTTAAAGTACTAACGATCAACTACTCTAATTAATATTAATATTTAATTCATATTTAGAATGTGGTCAATGCAACTGTGTATATCAATTCAATTGTGATCTCGGTTGCATCATTTATAGGATACCTGATTGCCAAAAATCTAGTCAATAAAATCAGCAAGAAGATTTTAATGGGTAAGCGCTCACCTTAAGCATAATCCTTACACCATAATACTTTTAAATATCTCGCTCCCCAATTAAATTATTATTAATATATATATATATATATATGTGTGTGTGTGTGTGTGCGTGTGTGTATGTAAATAAATTTTCAGTCGTATGCTTCATCGGGGCTAGTGCTTGCTGTGGTATTCTGTATTGGGCGGAAGATTCTAATGGAATCCTCGCTATATCGTCGGTATTCGTGGCGCTATCGAGTATCGGTGGGACAATTGTAAATAACGTTGTTGTTGATACGTTCCCCACGGCTTTAAGGTAAACTTTCTCCACATTTGTCGATATTTCATATGCATTTTAATACATCGCATTTGATACGGATTTTAAATACTATCCAATATATTAACTACTGCTGAATAATAAAATTAATATTGATCAAGATTTATAATAACAAATAGATCCTTTGCGTATTGGTATATAATGTTAAAATTACTGTATACGATATGATTATTATTATTATAATCAAAGGATAATGTTATGCAAGACTTTCAATAATCTATGTGTATTAATTATATCTAAAAGACTATTTATATGTTTGTTTTTCTTTTGAAATATCTTCAACTATATCGAATAATTATAATAAGTCTATTTACATTTTTCAGAACTATGGCTCTTAGTGTGACGATGGTTGTAGGCCGCATGGGGGCTGTTGTTGGAAATTTATTATTTCCCGTCCTGTTCACTCTGGACTGTTTAGGTCCTTTTATTATGATAGGATCTGTTTGCTTAAGTAAGCTATTTCAACTATTATATTTTTGTTTTAAGACGTTAAGTGTAACGGAATTATTTAATTAAATACTTTCGCGTGAAATAAGAAAACGTTACATCGCGTAAGCAACATTAAATTGCAGTCGTAGCTCTACTGCCTTTATGATCCTATAATTTTTAATAATTATTTTACACATTTATTCAAGCAATACCGAAGATATTTTCATACATAATATTTATGCAGTGATAATCGAATCTATTGTATTTTATGGGGACATATAAAATCTGCTATAATTATTGCAGAGAACTTAATTTAAATTTATTTTATTTTAGTTTGAGACAATTTTCATTATTTGGAAATGTTTTAATTTTAAATTAAACTATAGCGTATCTTATAAATTTCTTGTATTATCTTTAAAATAGTTCTCCATCTCCATCGTATATAGAATCTTAAACTAAATGATAATTTGTCCGTGCTTCTCTTATATTTTATACAAATATTTGTTTATAATTCTGTCATAAAATTAGATTTGTAGATAATGCTCAACTTAATAATAAATTTCCATAATCAAGCTCGGCATTTTTAAATAATTAAACATTTATTATTAAACTTGATATGTTATTCAATTTTTAGGTATTATTAATTTAGAAAATGACGAAAATTATTATTTACGAAGGAATGGTCGTTCAAGTTTCAATATTTATAAAAAACGTTTTTTTTTATCACAATAAATCAACGTACTGTTTTTAAAAATTTTAAAATATAATGTAACATAAGATATACAAGTGAACAATATAAAGTACAAAAAAAGGAAAGTATTTTCGATTCTAATGTGAGATGAAACAATAAAACGAATGAATGTTCTTAACGAGGAAAACATAGGCAAATTGATAAATAAATTATACATATCACTTTTAGCGCAAACACTTTTACCCCACTATTTACAATATTTTATAACTTTATCGTATAAATAAATAAATATAATTTAATTTCGAACTATTAATCGGTGATCCATTTATTTATTTATTTTTTTTAAATTTTATTACCGATTAATCTGATAATACTAATTGAGCGATCTCGTAATCTCTCTCTCTCTCTCTCTCTCTCTCTCTCACACACACACACACACAAACGCGCGCGCGCGCGCGCGCGTATATATTAAAGAAATTGATAAATATTACTTCAATAACAATATTGTACTATATAATTTAAAATTTAACATTTAATATTCGACTTTATAGTCACAAGTCCTAGCATAAAATTAATATTAAAATCGTTTAAAAGCATAAGGATTTATTTGAATTATTATTGCAAATATTAATATATTCTTCTCGTTGTAATTTTCATTGGTAACGCTAATTGTTCTACACATATTTTAATTTTAATTTAAAAATTATTATTCTTTTTAATGATATGCCTAAAAAATATTTAATATTAGATGAAATTATTTATAAGCATAATATATATATCCGTTAAACTATAAATATACTTTTTATTTCAAAGTTGTATGCCAGCAAAATATACATTCTCAAGAACATTACTAGTTGGAAATTAATGAACGATCTAATTTTTATTTCAGTGTGTGCAACGTTAGTGTTGGTTTTACCACGGGAAAAGTTATAACTGGAAAAATGAGTCACTTTAAAACCGACAATCAAAGAACAATCACTTAGATTTAAGAAATGAACATTACACGTTATTGAAAAGAGTGTATTTTGCGAATATTTTTTTACGAAAGCGTATTTTTCGTGCGATATTTTGTATATTTTTCGTTAAACTGTTAATAATTTTATTGAAAAATTTGTTTTTTTTACAGAGTGTGTATGAAAATTCAATATATTCAATATTAAGGATAAATCTAGCGTTAAAATTAGAACAGAATATTGACTATGTGTATTTATTATTGTTAGGAAACTCGTGAGCACGCTTAATTAAGTTTAAGAAATGATCGCCATTATGAATACCCGATTGTGATAATGATTTCTTAGTACCTTAAGTACATTATTGAATGAGATTTCTCATTGTAAATAACATGTACAGCATTAAAAAAAAAAATTTGTAAACATGTTTATAATTTACACACATTTTTCATATGAATGAATCTCTAGTTTATTTAACTTTCGTTAATGATAATAAGCAGTATTCTTGGGATTTAATACATATAGTTTTATTAGTTTTATATACAAATGTGCACGTTCGCTCATTTATAAGCCCATATGAACCGTACATTTTCTTACGATAGAACGTTTTCTTATTAAGTGTAGTATTGAATATTGCCATAAATATTAATTATTCTTACTATTTCAATTTAATCTAAATTATAAGCAACATAATTAAGAAAAGCATCCTTGGTTTCTGTATTCAAACCATTTGTGCACATCAGAATTCATAGCACAATAAGAATAATAATATAACGTAATTTCCTCGAATGATATTATTTTTCATTCTTAGCGTTTTTCGTATTAAAATAAAAGTCCTTAAACTCCTATTAAATATAAAATATAAAATATTTTGTACTTATTCTTAATAATAAATGCAATTTTTCTAATGGAGTATGTTTTTTTTAAGTATGTAACAACTATGGTCTCGTGACAAATGAGTTGGCAATCGGGGTCAAAGTTGAAACTGATTATTACATTAAAAGATACATAGAGCAGCAAAATAATGTTCTTGAAGATGCTGAGTTTTACAAATGTACGTGCTGCTTACGACATTTTGAAGTAACGGTCGAAAAGAGGAGGTAATGATAAAGATTATAAGTTATGGGCTATAGATATAAACGCTTTCCACTTCTACCAATCTCTGTAGTGCCCTGTTGCCTTCCAACTCGACTTCTCTTGACATGGAGAAAGCACTTCTTTATACACGTAGTAAATTAGTTTTGTTGTATTTATAAGTTGTAATTGAAAGTGACCGAGAATCATAATTGGGGTAAGATTACAAATACCTGTAATTCTTTTGTTTATCATGCTGCAGGAAAATATAAAGCACGATTACGAATTAAAAAATATTATTAATTTTACTTCGATCGAATTTCTACAAAAAATATCTTTTAACATTATTGATCTATTATTAAAGAGTGTGACAAATTATATTTAAATATTAGTGCATCATGATTCGATAAATGATTTAGTAGTTGAAAAATAATGTTCTTGCAGCTCCTTACTGTCGCCTCTACTTTTAAGTTTACTACATTATAGTTCGTGAAAATATATTCTTTAACATTAAAAAAATATTAAACAATTCGTATGCTTTATAATTTTTCTACTCCATAATAACAATAATTAGATTAATAGTATAAATAAGTGAACAATTAGATATCAGACGGTAATATGAAATGTGATTAAATTTTTGTTTACGTATATTTATATGCAAATTATAATTCTTTTCTAATATCCGAGAGGCTTGGAACAACCATTACTTATATATAATAAGTTCAACATTAATATTTGAAATACTTAATACTTGGATTACTTGTTGATAATTTATCCATTTCATCGCAATATTTCCAAATTTCTAATGTAAAACAATGTTCTTTAAGATATATTTTTTTTAATAATTTGTTATAATAATAATGCAAAGTAAGTGAATGGAAAATTATGTTCTCAATTTTGTCATAAGGAAAATTTGAACAATAATAACATCTTTACACTTTGAATTTTAATATTATTTAATAATATATCATCTAAATTAGAGCCTAGACGTCTACTTAGATAATGCAATAAAATGTTAATTTATGTGATAAAAGAAAAAAAAAACAAAGCCAGGTTTTCCCTCATAGTAGTTTAACGAGTTATTAACTTAATTATTGCTAAATGTTTATATGAAACTTAAAAATTATTACTAGATTTTCATTACTTCTAATCTCATAATGCAATTATAAATAAAAGTTTTTTTTTTTTAAATATTAATTTAAATTTAAATTTAATTTAATTTTTAATACTATATTTAATTTCAATATTGTCTAATGAAAATCTACGAGATATGTATTTGATGTTGCAACGGGTATTATACATATTTCAATAAATATAGATTTTATATATTAAAATACATATTATAATATACATAAAATGGATAAATGCCATTTACATAATTATCACTTATCATTGCTTATGATTTTAAATATTTACGTACATTATCGAGTAAACATAAGCTTTTATATTTATGCAATGATATACATAGGCGAAATCTTCTTGAAGCTTATGTTATCATTTTCAATGAATATAAATATCGTTTATTTGATATCAAATGCATTTAGCTGAGCGAGGGAAAGTATTTTCTGCAGTATTGTAAATTTTATAAATTCATACTTTTATCAATCATGTTGTTTAGGAATGAAATTATTATTAATGAGCAGCGGTAATCGTGTGCCTTAACAAGCTGTCCAATTAATATAATATGAAAATTTATAAATTAATTGAAACTTTAGTAAAAAGTTAGAAAGTGTATATTTAGACTTGAAGCTCAATCACATGGAGTTAAAAATTACACTACAACAATACTACTGTTTTATTAATTTGTTTAGACTTATATTAATTACAGTTTGCATTAATTATTTGGTTATTAATGTTTTTATACGAAAATGAAAAAAAAGATGATGAATTTACTGTGATTTGTGAACATCGTAATGAATTGTAAAATAAAATATAAACGTTATTGTAGTGAAATCATTGTGGAACGGCATTCGATTTCTGTGTTGAAGTCACTTTTTTAAAGAATTTTCTGCGATCGTATAAAATTTGATAAATTCGATGAGTCAAATTAGATATGAAAACGTAAATTTATCTGGAATACATTGTAATTATAACACTCGGTTAATCGCTATTTGAATCGAACAATAGATAAACAAATCTATTTTTTTATGAAATAGTACTTCCTTTATTTTAATTCTGTCATAAGCATTAATTACATTTAATAAAGAGAAATTTAAAATTAATAAAAAAAATTTTAATACCCTTGCGACTAGTATGAATTTATTTTTCATCACCAGCAAAAACAAAAAATACTTGTTATTGTCGTCTTGTTATATCTAACGAATTTCGAAGCAAATAATTTAGATCTTTTAAGTTGCAATTTGGCTTATTTTAATAAAAGTCTCGATATTATTTTATTTATTTATTTTTTTTTTCATGCAATTATTAACCTTATTTAGATATTTATTTAACAAATTATTTATGTAATTTATTTAACGAAGTATGTGCGATGACATTTTGCCCATACTGTATCGAGAAACGCTAAGTTTACAAACAAAAATATTATGCGAGACTTTGTTTAATATATTTATTAAGCGAACCTTGGAATTAATGAGCATCGTTTATCGTTTATATTTCACTCATCACTAATTAATTAATAGATTTACATATTATTTGTAAATTCGCCGGGGTTCCTAAATTCAAGGCCAAATGAAAGAATTCATCAGTTACACGCACGTGACGCCTATTCTATAAATAATCCGACTAATTTAAATATTGTTTGCCAAATATTTACGAGTATTATGTCAAATGCCATTAAAAGTCTGACCAACTAACATCAATAGCTTACGTTAGTGGAATCGATTTCTTTGCAAAATTGTAATAATTATCAAAAAATCCATAAATCACAAGGGAAAAGAAATTTGGCATTAGAGTTTTAGATTTTTTGCAAATTACGTATCTAATTTCCATATTAGGAAAATACATTTTTAATTTAACACGCGCACGCATCCACGAATATTGTCGACCAAACCGGTCATTATCCTAACGGAATAATTAATATTTTTATACAATTTTCAAATTATTTATACGTTATTCTCGATTACGTATTGAAAAAAAATCTCTAATTTCTAATATACCTTTGCAATTTTATCGGATAAACTGCATAAGCTGTGCTACTCGGTAACGTTCCTTTCCATTCGGATAACAAAAAAAAACTCGCTCGAGCTACTGGCAAATAAAAAAAAACCAATCGTTAACCACAATTACCAAGCCTCTGTAAATACGTAATTTATGTGCGCTCGAAGCGCGACTTTAAAGAATAACGGCTTTATCAGCCGATGGTTACTCGCTATTAACAAAAAAAAAAAAAAAAAAAAAAAAAAAAAAAAAAAAAAAAAAAAAAAAAAAAAAAACTAAACTAAACTACAAATTTTGCCACGAGAGCTCTCTACCGTCTCGTCTCTCAAATTCTTCAATTCAATTGATCGATAAACATACGTCTTTCTTCAAAAGTCGGCTTTCGACATTTATCGCTTCGATATGCACTTTTCTATAATCAATAGGTAGATCGAAAGTCAGCGAGGTCGATTTTCGCAAACCAAACATTTTAAGCGTCCCGCCCCCTCTCCACCCACAAAACCAACAACGCAGCATTGGGCTTTGAATTTAGAATTTGGAATATCAACGTAAGCTCACAACGATTCCCTTGCTCATCAACCAATATGTCTCGGCGGCATCCCATTAACATGTCTCAATCATAATAATAATACTATATTTTATCAACGCGCTCATCAATTATTCTTTAACTACGTCATTCGATAAACTTTGTTTCATTGCTGCGCCCTACAACCGGCACAACGATTCAATCTCTCACTCTCTACTCGCGTGACTCCTCGCAATTCGCTCTAAATCGAGTGGAGCTGGGGCTGCCTGTCGTTGGAAAATTCCATCCCTTGGAATTTTAGCGGCGGTAGCACCTCATCGTGAAATGGTCGCGAATAATCAACCCGTCTCGCTCGCTCGCCACCTTCAATTATAAATAACCGGCATGCAGGGGAAACCAGCCAGCCAGCCAGCCAACTAACGAGGCTGCTCCCCTCCATTCCTCCTCCTCCTCCCCCCGCCCCTCCTCCGCCGCGCCGCCGACCAAGTTTTTCGGAATCGGTGAAACACGGCGGACTCCCTGAGAGGACTCGCTCGAGCCGGATTTCGGTTCCCCCGAGTATTACTGCGGCAGCGTCACGCGTCAATCACGTGCTCCGTCGAGCAGTAGCCACTCTCCGATCCTCCCGACCCTCCTCGTCGTCATCCTTGGCTTCTCGCTCGCTTTCTCCGGCCGATACCCTTGCCGATCATGACGATCGCCGCGTATCGCTCGCAGACAAGTCAAATTTAATGGCGCAGGATTTCCCATTTTGGCAGACTCTTTTGGTTGCATGGTAAAAGCCATATAATATGAAGGGCCAAGTACGGGAAAAGTGCCCGGACCGAGGAAAATGTTTTAAGTAGTCAAGAGCCTAACCAACATAAACGACCTCCCGAAATTCCCACGAGACTCGTCGTGGCGCGCGTCTCACGCGTTCCCCACAACCTCCCACGCAAGCCCTCCACAAGGCGCATGCGTATCTCATCCCGTCTCGTCGCTCTCTCTTTCTCTCTCTCTCTCTCTCTCGCTCTCTCACTCCAGTGTAAGCAGCTAGTTCCAGGCGACACATGGGCACTACATCGGCTGCAGTTGTCGTAGAGTCGCCGTTTGTCGGTGTGCGCGTGGAGGTACGTCGTCGAGGTTCGGGTCGTAGACACGGTGAGTCAATTTTGGAGTCGAGGAGCGCAGAGGTGGTTGAGCGGCGGCGGTCACATCCTATTTTATCAACGAGCTTCTCGAATATTCGTCGATATTTACGAGTGGACACTGTTTATCCGCGGACCTGTCACACGACACGGCAGCACCGCGCGACACTCTCATCGGCTCGGCGTCGCGACAGCCAACGCAAAGAGGCGACGCACCGTGGATAATTACCGTAATTTCGACAACTACACAACCACTCGCTCAATGCCACCAGTCGACGATACGCACACGCGCAAAGAGAGCGGCATAATCGCGAGCGGATATACACGGGAACGTAAATGCGCATGAGTGCGCGCGTGTGTCCGGTACGAAGGTCGAGCTGAGCGCCGCTAATTAGCTAATTGGTTCGTCGGCTCTCTTCCCTTCTACTTCCTCAGCTATTTCACGTGCGTTCCGATAAGACTCGGTGGAGAGCGTCGGAGGTACTTCCCGATGGGAGAGTCCTCAGGTATGGGCATTGATAATACCTTGGAACTTCTGTGTGTAAAGTTCCAAAAGATCGAGAGGCTCAAGAAGTCGTATTTCGGTAAGGAGCGATTATTTTTTATTTATAAACGAGGATGTCAGGGTTGCCGACTGTCAGCGCACGCAATTTTCTAAATAAATCATTTCCATTCGCGTAAAATGTAAACAAATGTAGGCGCGCGCGCGAACACACACACACACACACACGCACTCGCATATAAATACATTTATATTTTGTGCACGTATAAATTTGTTTATTTATTTATAGTCCGATTGAATTTAATATACACGCACACCAAGTACATTGCTCATTGTCACATTACAGTTTATCGCTCGTATTCATTGTTTTATTCTTCCTAACTTCAATTACTAAATATCACAGCATGAAAATATTTACATAATAATGCCATTCATATTATTAATAAATATTGCTGAATAATAAAATTTGCTAATTGTAAAACATTAGATATGACTTTTAAAGTATTTTGTTTATCGGTTATCAAATTGATAAATACAAATGGAAAGGCTTAATATTTAAATTAATATAAATTAACAACGATATCGAGATTGCTTTGATAATCATTTCTGTGATATTGTTGTTATTAATGATTAAAATTAACATAATGTAAAGGTGAAAGTTAATCATTTATATGTACTTGGTCGAAAACAGCATATTGTCATTTTTATTTTAAAAACAGTCGAGAACATTTTAACTCTTAACCTTTACATTTCTTTTAATTTTAAAAGAATTCAAGCTTTTTTTTTTTTTTTTTTTTTTTTTTTTTTTTTTTTTTTTAATGATTCTGCTTTAATAATAAGCTCGGTAGTTGAATTTTCAACAAATGATTTGGACATTACGTTATTCAAAATATTTTATTGATTCAACACCTGTATTTAATGGAATTCATGGACATTACAAGAGCGAAATTTTAATAATAGTATTAAAATATTGATCAATAAATAAAAAAAAATAAAAATAATACTTCAATTAATATCGTTCTAGTATGTTGTAACTGAAAAGATTAATTTTATTTTGAACTTTGTAGGTCATCAACGTTTTTATTGCGTTTATTTCAAATCATATGAAATTATTCCTTAAAATTTCTTTTTCCTACCTGTACAGATTCGTGTACTAGATAATTATAAAATATTTGTACATATTTATACGTGCATATATATTTAAGTAATTTTTAAGTATTTTGACTGATTGAATATTTATACTATTTTTTATATTTTTTCTGAACACAGTTTGCCTTTTAAATTCTTATTTTCATCGGAGTTTATGTCCTCTTGTTTTAAATCGCATTGTACAATACTTGTAAAGAAGCATTCAGTTGTTAAATATGTACATTCCGTTAATACATACAGCTGTTATTAGTGTAATGCACCTGATCACCCATTATTAGCAAATATTATAATAAATGATTATATTGTAAAAGATAAAAAAATAAACTTATGTACTTACTATAAAGCTGTTTCATGAAATATATTATACGAGAATTTCAGATTTATTTTGATTTATATTTTTATAAAATAATATTTAGAAAATTCTTATATAATCGACTCTTACATAACAAACACTTTTAACAATTGCATTGAATAATATCATTGTTTAAATATTATGAGTTTTTCCATTATATATATATATATATATATATATATATATATATATATATATATACATATATTAAGAATACAAATTTCATATGACTAATGTAATAAAATTCAGAAATGGATAGATATTTAATTATTTAATGGCTCATACATCAAATCGTTTAATATCTACTTCAAATGTTGAATTTTGATTCATTGGTCATTTCTAAAAATGAATATAATTCGAGCTTATGCGGCAATTAATATTAAACGTCTTACATGCCGCACGAGCCAAAATTTGTAAAATTAATTTAGTTCTATTTATTGATAAAAATTGTGATTCCCTTAAAAATTAATTGACCGATAGGATATTATTACAAGTTTTATTATATTTCGTACAAAATTATTTAAATGCATTACCAACTGATTCAATTTTAAATCGAATTTTTATCACTCGATAATATAAACGTAGACTATCCATCATTGGCTCAAGTATTGAAATTTCCAGCTCAATAATGAATCGTTAGAAGAGCCGTTCGAGTTTTATTCAAAATTCATAACCTACCAATATTTCACAAAAATCAATAAAATTATTTTACATCATCGGTTTGGGCTGCATGTTGAATTTGGGTGGCATAGGACTTTGTCAATTTGGTAAAGAATTTATTTTAAATAGCGTACGTTTCGATATGGTGCTGTTGCGCAAAGTAACGTCAACAAGTTGTTTTGATTTTTGATATTTTAACTTTATCAATCTCCACAGTTCGCAAACACTGTTTGTTAGGTAATACTGTCTGTTAGGTATATGTCTGTTAGGTAATACTGTAAAGCCTCGATATTTATCAATATAATGGAATAATAATAATGCGTTTAAGAAAAGACCGCCGTTCAACTAGAAGAAGCGCCAAACCGCGGTTAAGCGAGAGAGATGATTATTTAAAGCGCGTTGGGTCGCGGTAATTTCGAAAAATCACCGTGTAATTTCAGCATCCGCGAAACGCAGTATTTATAGCGAATAGCATTATTGGCGCGCGATTCGCCTAAGCTCGCGAAATCCCGAGGCAGCGGATCGCGCGACATTAGCAAAGACGTCCTCCGTCACGAATTTCTAACGAACCGTGGTGGCCCACATTTCACGCCTACCCATAATCCTCCTTGATATTTGCCGATCGTCGCAAATAAAAATCGCGAGACGACGCGCACTTTCGTCCCTCGCTTTTGCGAATCTAGCGCGTGTGGAGACCCCGTCTCTGCGCGGCTGGGCAGAAGAAAGAGAGGGAGGTTTGCCCGAAGGAGAAACCGCTGGGTGCTCGCACGCACGCACGTACGCACACAGGTAAATTCGGAACACGTGCTCAGCGAGTGACAGAGGCACACGGTGCGTTTGCTTTTTTGCTTTCGCGAGTGAGTTGAGGAGGAATAGAGGCGTCGGGCCCAGAGCCAACGGGTGGAATCGCCTCATCGACGGCGTGTCGGCCCCTTCGGACGACAGCTCCCGGCAAGAGTCGATGAACTTTCCCGGGAGCGCAGCGGCGGCCTCGCATTTCGTCTTCGTAGTCCCCATATCGCCGTTAAATTTATAATCGT